ATAAAAAAACTGATGGATGGATAGCATATTAGATGATCTACCAACTTGTGAACTGTTGATACTGAAAAAACCACCACTATTGATTCCAAGTAGGGTAGTTGTTAGCTGCAGTCTCCTTGTATGTTCATAATAGTAGCTTGTCTCCTGAAGGTGAAATACTATCTTTTCATATCAACTTACATTATTTTTCCATAACTTTGTTTTTGAGTAGAATATTTTGAATGAATTCATTTTTTAAGTGAATAAAAAGCTGCTATAGTAATTTTATAAATAACTTGTATGTATTATTTTTAACATTCTGATTAGAGATTTTGCAATTGCTGAAAGTTTTGACTTTTGAATTTCCCACTATGCTGCAGAGACTTGTTACATTCGTAAGTACTAATCTATAAGCAGAGAAGTAAAGTTATTCTTTTATCATCAATTTTGTACTTATTTAGAGAAAAAATAACTTCTAATAAGACTTATCCTAACCTGAAAAAATGTGTAGCTGTTAGAAGCAAGACGTCTAATTAGATATTTCCACAGACTTTCTAAAAAAAAAAACAAAAACTGAAAAATGCATTTCTAAATAATTTACATGTTTTCTTTGATGTTAAATTGTGGTTTTATTTGAAAGATAATAGCCTAAAGTTAATACTGAAAAAAAAAAAAAATTATTTTATGACCTTAAATAAAGATTTTGGACATTTTTTTTACAAACACCAGACAGTTTGATTAGCAAATTTATTGGATGCTGACAAAAGAGAAATTAAAACACTTTAAAAAAAATCTCTTAAAGATCTAACATCTGTTCCAGATATTTGTTTTGAAGAAAAATAGTAAATTTAAGGATTAATTAGATTTTGAAAAAATATTGCTTCCTTTTTGAGAAAAAAAAAAAATAAAAAAACACTTTTCCCAGTAGGGTATGTCCTCATTTGTCAAGATGTTCAAAGGTCAAACAATTGTTATCTTGCAACACTGCTCTTTCAAAAATTTGTCATAAATAAAACATGGAAGCCTATTTATTAGAAAACTTTATTGTGAATTCTATTTAGAAGAGCTGTTGACTACTGTCCTGCATCTAGCTATGATTTTTTTTTTATTTTGGATTCTTGTCATAAACATTCCTATTCATTACCAATTTAAAACAATTTAATTCTGTGAATGCCCAAGAAGAGAAGACAAGTATTTAAAGATTGAATGCTTTTGTCTTTTCCCACATATTCTTTTCCTGGCTGATGAATTTTTGACTTGTAAATAATTTACTATAATTGACTGATTGCATAAGTGTAACACCTTTTGCCACTGTCTACGCCCAGTGATGTAACCATGTTTAGTAGTACGGTCCTCAGGGTCTTGAGATGATGCTTTAACCATGAGTTAACACTGCACTGGTTAATGCTGATGCTGGTCTCAGCTGGTTGTTGGTCACTGGCTATTTCAATCCACACCATCTCTGCCCACATTGTGTTCTTCATCTCAGAAGATTGAAGGTCATAGTCTCACAACACAGGTCCAGCTGTGGCAGGTGCTATATTAAGGAAAAAAATATCTTCATGACAAAAAATAAAACAAGAAATTCATGGGGTTAATTTAAAAAAACAACAAAAATTAACTCATCCTGCATCAATCTCTCTAGTGACACTGGGCCTTGTCTAAACTTCTGGGAGGCTTGGTTCAAAGTCTTGGAATCAGAAATTCTGGTTGGCAGCTGGCATGGATTTCAGAGGCACTCAGTGCAGGATCTCAGCCCAAAGTCTTCAAGCTTCATAAAGTCATCTGCTTATATGCACTTTGGCCTAAAACTAACATGGAGCCAAAAGGTTCTGGGGGTTTGTTGATTCTTTAATTTTCATTAATTCAAATAAAGTTTTCTTTGTTTCCTATTTCTGCTTTCTTAATCAACTTTTCAAATTTAGAAAATTATCCACCTTCACAGGGATTGCTTTTCCCTTAACTCCCACCTTCTTCACTTCACATCTCTCACTGCTACTCTGCACAGGCTGGGCTAAATTCTGCTCATAGCTCCTTCCTTCCTAGCATTCAACCTCAGCCCACTTCCCAGGGTATACTTAACTGTTTTTGTGACAAATCTAACTTTTAAAGTGCATAGGTGAAAGGGTGGAGTTTCATTCCAACCATTAATTTTAATTCTCCAAATCTTTTCTATTTTACTGGAACTATCTTTGTCCAGAAAAAATACAAAACAGATCAATGATGACAGAATTTGTTTTCATAACTCCAGCCTTAATTGTACAGTACATTCAATCCATTAAGAAAAATTTGTTCTCATTTTAACCTTCTGATTGATAGATAAAAATTATGTCCCAATCTGCTTTCGTCAACAAAAATATATTTGTTCATTTAAATTCTCAAACAAGAGACAAAACTGTTTTCAATCTGTGGCTGATAGCTGTCTCAGCAAAAACACAAACCAGATCACCCTCTTGGCATGACATAATTGATCTTCAAAACCTCAACCTTAAGAAAAAGTGTTCGTTCTTTGTTTTTTCTCAATGAAAATATGATCCTTATCTGTTTCTTTTTCCATTTAATAATGTTTTCCTAATTTCTCCTATTAGAGATAAACTTATTTCCCTGAATCTGTTTTCATCCGCATGCCAGACTCTTGATAGATAAGAAAAATAAACTTTTAGGAGAGAAGAAATCCAGATGTCCCATTCTCACCAAGGAACCCCCCCCATCTCTCATTTTGGGATAACCCTTTTTTTTTCCTACTTAGAATTAATGTTTAACTGCCTCAGTGTCATATCAGCAGTAAAGATCTAAAGAGACTTCTAAGATTTCTTTAATTTTTTTTTTTTTTTTTCCAACTCCATATATCTGCCCAGAATGTATTCAGCCATTTTGAATATCTTGAGAACTGGTTTCACAGTCTTGATGCAACTTGGTAACCCAGACAGAGGCTACTTTATTGCATGTGCAGGAACCCTCTCCCGCACATGCAATAAAGTGAGACTCCAGTGAGTATATGACTGCCATCTTCATAGTGAATATATATCAAATTTTGCTTGAATATTGAACACTCATCCATTGAAACTATTCAAAGATTAAGGTATTTTCCAAAGATTATTCAATTAGTAAAGCCCAAAGGAAATTTTGGTACTTATGCTTCAAAATTGACTGGGAATCTGTTAAATGTGATCCATATTTTGGAATGTCTTTAACAAGGAGAGTATCTGAAAATGTTGAATGTGTACAAGTTGCAATCAAGGGGAATTGATAGTTGAGAGTGGAAGGATAAGAAAAACTGAAGATTCCACAGAATGTCTGGTATCCAGCCATGTTGAATATCTCAACTGCCTATTCTTTGTCTTGTCCAGGTATTTTAGGTAAAACATTGCCTCATCAGGATCTGTCAGTACACCCTACCCATCCAAGTCTAGATTTGTCTGCCTGAGACTATGACTTAGATCTTTTCTCAAAGCTAAATGAGTTGTAAAGGAGGTGATATGATGACAAATCATATGATGATAGTTAGGAAACTCCTATTCAGAGATTATTTTGAAAAGTACTTTAAGTATGCAATTAAGTAAGCAATTCATTTGACAAGATTTGCATATGTTTATTCACTTTGTAATTATGTGATAGGATGAAATTTTCTTCCATTTAATTTAGTCAATGGCTGAGAAAGAATGAAATTTCACAGTGCTGTCAATCCTATGTAATTTATTTTTTAAAGATGCCTTGCTACTTCAACATGTAATTCAGTCATGGCTCTCCACAGCTTCCTTTACTTTAATATCTTTGAATTGCTTCTTGGGAAAGATAGTGGAGTGGTTTCTCATTACCTTCACCAGAGTTTTGAATTCAAAGTTGTTCTTCACATAGACTAGTTGCCTTATCAAGACTGACTCCTCATCTTGGGGTAATGGTTAGCACAGCCTATCTGATTGAATATTACTGCTCAGTAGTGACTTTTGTTCTTACTGGTTACTGTATACAAAAATCAACATTAAACGTTCCTATTCATTACCAATTTAAAACAATTTAATTCTGTGAATGCCCAAGAAGAGAAGACAAGTATTTAAAGATTGAATGCTTTTGTCTTTTCCCACATATTCTTTTCCTGGCTGATGAATTTTTGACTTGTAAATAATTTACTATAATTGACTGATTGCATAAGTGTAACACCTTTTGCCACTGTCCAATAAACATGGAGTAAAAAATCAACCAACCCAAGCTTACCAAGACTTGAGGAGTTCAGTTGATTCTACTATTTACTTGTAGGAAATTCAACTGTCTAGGTTTTTTTTATATTAAAAATTCAAACATCCAAATTCCCAAACAATAATAAAATAAAAATAAAGAAAACATGGGTATGTCTGTTAGGTAAATCATTTGTATTTACAAACATATTTACATGAATTCAAAAGAGTTAAAAAGTATTAAAAATAGTCTTTAGTTGAGTTAAAGTCTTTGGGTACATAACAGTCTCTGCCAGAATTTGAACTCGGAATACTCATTTCAGATTCTGAGTTGATAACACCACCCACACGTATTTCTATATTATGCTTGCTGAGTTATTAACAATTCTTTTTTTTTTGCAATGGACCATTGTAATTGAGAAATAGTATTTTGAAAATAGCTGAAAAGAAACTTATTACTAACCTCACTTTCCTTTCTCTCTTGCTCTCTCTCTCTCATCCCTACATATCCTCTCTCACTGTCTGGGGAGGAGGTTCTTACCTGACCTTACCCTTTATCACTATATGGAATTTACTATAAAAAGAATGAAAGAAACTGCTAATTTACTTTATGATAATGACTACATACAATGGTTAAAAACCTTTTCTTTGTTTTGGTTGACAGCTTGATAGAAAACTGTGGTTAATATTCTCCTGTCTTTAGTCAAATAAAAAGAAGAAATCGTTGGGTAATTTCAAAGAAATGTATTTTTTCCTTAGAGCATGTGATCTCAGATTGGTGACATTTCTTGGTTCTCGGCTGTAATGTTTCTGAAATGTTTAATAAAGTTTCCTTCCTTTTTGCAGGATGAAAACTTAGTTGTATTTCCTGACAGGCGTCCGGCAAGTATGCACCATTATCTTGTCGTGACAAAAGAACATATCAGAGATGCCAAACATTTAAATGGCAGTCACATTCAAATAGGTAAGTGCATGGCACATTCTTTTATTATAAGGATGTATGTTGGCTGAAAAGTTTCAGTTGAAAATCAAAATTGGGCAGTCAGAAATTTTGTCTATTTTAATAAAGGTTTTCAACCACCTGATTATGTTCTCAAGTGACATAAACACTTTACATACACTTTAGTTTCAAATAGCTGCGCTAGTTGGAATAAAAAGGGTGACTGGAATTTTTAATTTGTTAATAATTTTCAGTAATGAAATGCTTTGTCCTAGAATATTCACAGCCTAAATGAAGGGTCAGGGGAAATTTCCTGAATGTTTGGTATTACAAGGAGTTTTGTTGTTCTCTCACTCAACTGCACCCAACACATAATAATCATAGGGGTTGCAGTTTGGGGAGTTAGGTGGCAAGATCTAACAAGTAACAAGTAACAATTTCCTGAATATTTAATAAGAGAAATGGTTGGAATAAGGATGTCCCAGTTGGATTATTTTCCAAAAAAAAAAAAAAATAATTGTCCCAACCAGTCTATTTTAAACTCAAAAGTAAATAATTTTTATGAATTGGGATCAAATATTGATTAAATATGGGCTGGAATCCGACAGAATAATAGGATAAAGAACAAATAGGAAACATTTATCAATCTAACATGTTTCACTTTTATTAAAGCTTCATCAGAGAATGAGATTTTTTTTCTCTATATCTCATTCTGAGTAAACTTTCAGAAAAGTGAAACATGTTAGATTGATGAATGTTTCCTATTTGTTCTTTAACCTATCATACTTTTTTTATATAATGTTGAGTTTAAAATAGAATATTTAATAGAATAATTGTCCAAGTCTGTTTATTTTAAACTCAACAGTATATCATTTTTTTATATACTGTTGAGTTTAAAACAGGCCAGGACAATTATTCTTTTTTTGGAAAATAAACAAAAAAAAAAACTCTCACGTAGTTTGATACCAACCTGCAACTTTATCTCTTTATTCAGTGCTCAGATACAACACTTGGAACTGAGTTTTCTTTTAGAGATATTTCATTGAATATGAGTACTTTTGTGTGTTTTTTTTGTTAATTTTTTTAAATGGCTGAGATGATCATTTTATTTTTTTATTTTATTTATTTTTTTTATTTTTTAGAAAAATCCACCCAGTTCATCTTATTCTAATCTGTCCTTTTGTTAAATATTCAGGGGTTCTTTCTACCCCTTAATTGAGGCTGTGAGAATTTTAGGACAAAGTGTTTCATTTGAATGTTTAATAAAAGGAGTGAATAGAATAAAGATGTCCTGGATGAATTTTTTTGTCCAAAAAGTATAATTGTCTTGTTCATCTATTTGAAACTCAAAGGTCGTCACCTATTATTGTCTGAGTTTTTAAACATATACCAGTGGCAAAGATTTTTCTTATATTTTAGGTAGAAAAATGCCATAGTACAAAAACAGCTTGAAAAAAGCATAAAATTAAAAAGCCATAAATTAGAAAAAATAGGCCAAAAGAAAATATTTTATTCCATTTTTATTTAAAAATCTTTTCATACTCAAGTCGACATTTTCATATAAGCTTGCATAAATGCCATCATAATTATTAATTAATAAAGTATCTTCAATGGTATGATACTTTGGGTTGAAGAAGAATACAGATAGGTCAAGAATTCTTTGCTGCTCATTCTTTTTACTTTCTTATTAATTAAACTCAGGGGAATCAATGTAGTTAGCAATTAATAGTGTTACAGTTATCTCTCTTGAGTAGATTTTTTTTTTTTGTCAATTTATACTTATTTACTTAAAAATTCTTCAGAAACTGGTAGCCTGATTGAACTGGAAATTGTTTTATACTCCAAGTCAGAGGATTTTAATGGTCTTGAATTAACAGAAATTACACGCTGGTGTGCAGTTTTTGCTGTGTTATTCCAACAAATTTGCAAATAAACTTACAGAAATTGAAGTATTGTGATATACACAAATGCGATCTTGGTCTCTAATTTTTCATTATTTCTTCCATTACTGCTGTTTCAAAACTCTGTTGGTATGTATATTTTTGGGGGGGAATATTCTCAGTTTTTTTTCTATTAATATTTCATGCTATTCCCAAAGATGGGCACCTTCATCCCTAATATTTTATACAAAGCTAACCTTTGTATCAACATTAGATATCTTTTTGCACAACAACATATGAAATTTCAAGCAATATATATTGGCTCTAAATAGGAATAGTAATTTTAAAAACATTTACAGGTGCATCTTTATATAAACTTTTCTCTTAGTATGTCTTGCAATTTTTATTTTATTATTTCATCATTAGTATTGGTGGTATTCAAAGAAATAAATGAAAGCAGAAACAGCCACAATAATTATAATATTGGAGAAAAACTGTCCTTGTAAATATGGAATTTTTTTGCTATCTTCAGTTTGTATTTCTATTTGTTTTTAATTAGTTTTTGTTTATTTTAAAATCTTTAAAATTTTGCTTTTTCAACATAGAATGTTAAAAAGATTTATTAGGATAAAAGGAGAGGAGAAAATGTCAAATCTCTTATTCTGAGTATTTTGAATGGTACAAATGAAAAAATACAATACTGGTGTGAAACTTGTAGAGAAACAGATATTTATCACAGCAGCAAAAATATTTATACAATATAAAAATTGCATAAATTACAATATTGGCCTTGCACCAAATTTCCCTTGTGCATGTTAAATTATCAAGGCAGGATAACAGTTTTTTCAAATACAAATCAGTTTTCTCTTAGAAAATTACAGTTTATGTAAAGCAAATGATTTCCTTAAGAACAAAGGGACTTTAACAACTTTCTTTTAGAGCAACAGTTCATATAAATCAATTTCTTAGTAACAAAGAAATTTACTTAATTTAATTCAAAAGTTGCTTTTCTGGAGATCTTTTGATGAATGTTCAGATTTTTGGAACATGCATCCTCAAGTTTGAGATAAGCTCTCATAGATTTATGAAAGTCATTCTTATGAGAATTAAAAAGATTCTTCTTCATCTGTCTTCTTCATCAACAGTGACAATGGAGGTAGTCTTATCACAAGACACCATATGGTCTATTTCTTTTCTCAGCTGTAGCAGACTTTACAAGCCATGATGGTCATTCCTTTCAGCAACCCTAAGTTTGTCTACCTCTTTCCTGTCTATCCTTTTCAGACTTTCCATCTTGTATAGCAAATAGATGGATCAAAACCATCCTGTAACCATTTCCTTAATGGCTGTATACTTCTTATCCCCATTGGTTAAAAAATTGAAAATCACCATCCAATCAAACCACAACCATATTCAATTAAATTTTGGCTGATTTTGAAAATATCCAAGTCAGGTATCTTTTAAAATTTTTGCCATTGAGAGTTTATACTGTCTGGCCTCATTTTGGTGTTGATTTTTATGGCATCAGTTTAGAGCCTATTTTTTCAAATATTTGCACATTTTTATAAAAATTTATTTATATAAAGGGTTTGGATTAATTTAGGCAGTTTCTTTGGAAAAGAAACCATGTTAGTGAATTTCTAATTTTCTTAATTAGATTTAATACAATCTTAATATTATCGTTTTTATGAAAAATAATCTTTATAATTTAATTTGGAAGTTATGTTATTTTTGTAGAATCTTATAGGTGTTTTTTCTTTTATTTGAATTGAAAGTAAATTGAATATTTAAAAAATAAATAAGTTAAAACATTGTATTATATTTTTGAAATAAACTAAAATTGTTCACGAAAATTTGAATTTTCATTTCAAGAAATAATTCGGCAGTTATTAAAATTTTCAAAAGATTAATTGCTTTTACATAGTGTTTTAGGATTATTTACGAGAATGAATCACTTGAACTTTGATACTGCATATTGTATATTTACTGTCGTTTGTAAATCTAACTTCTGAAAATAATGTACTTTTTTTATCTCCCTTAGAATGTAATGCTTTTTTTAACTCCTATTTTGATGTAATGAATTATGTCCCTTGGGTTAGCATAATTCCAGTTAATTCCCTTACATTGTTCTTTTCTTATTAAATGTAATCAGACTTGAAAGCTACGTACGAGTCAGAGCCCGCTGGGAGTGTATAAAAGGCTCTCATCACCTGAATGCACTTCCCGCCAAAGAAAAAAAAAAAAAACCCAAAAAACCCAAGAATCTCGTTCACACATCTTTTGATATTATGTGATTCATCAAAGTTAAATTGTAATGCTATCAATCCTGAAAAAAAAACAAAAAAACTATGGTTGAAAGAAAAAAAAAAAGTCAAAGAAGCTACAGCATATGCAGAATCCTATTAGAGGGTCAAGTATTTGATTGGTGCCATGACAATTGGAGGGGAATTGTTTTTTTAAACAGGACAATGATGGTTCTAGAAATAGAAGATACATAGTGATAGAATAAATGGAAAATCCTGAAAAGTGGACGATTCTTGCTACAGCCATTGGCCAAGGAAAACAAAGCCAATTAGATTAGGTCAGTGGTTCCCAAATGGGGCAGCACCCCTCGTAGGTGTGGTGGAAGAGGATAACAGATGAGGTGTAATGATTGAAAGACAATCAAAGATTTAGAAACAGTTTCAAAAAATTAATATGCACCCCCCAAAAAAATATGATTTCAAAATTTAGAATATTATTATGGATTACTTGTAATTGCATGCACGAGTCCCAGTATAACTACTTATAAATAATTATTGACCAATTTTATCACTGATATTTTTTCATTATATCAAGTATTAAGAATATAGTAACTAGGGTCCGCAAATTGGAGGAGAGAGTTAGCAATGATAATGTTCTTATTTTGAATCTGCAGTCATCTCCCTTTAACCCTCTGTCTGTTTATTATTCTTTTAAATGTACGTTTTATCATGTAAAACTTCTATTCCAAAAATGTGGCCTAGAGAAAAAAAGTTTGGGAACCACTGGATTCGGTGGAAAAAATGTTGAGCCATGATCTGACATATGAGGTCTGATCAAAAAGTATTGGGATTGATGCTATAAAAAGAAAACTACAACATATATCAATTCGGAATTTAATCT